CCTATTAATAATTACATTAAATGTAAATGGACTAAATGCTCCCATCAAAAAACATAATGTGACTGAATGGATAAAAAAAACAAGGCCCATCTATATATGCCTTCTACAAGCAACTCACTTTGGAGCTAAAGACACATACAGACTGAAAGTGAAGAGAAGGAAAAAGATATCCCATGGAAATAGGAATGGAAAAAAAAAGACGAGTAACAACACATATCAGACAAGATAGACTTTAAAACAAAGACTATAACAAGAGATGAAGAAGGACATTAAGGCTCAATCTAACAAGTTGATAGAATTGTAAATATCTATAGACCCAATAGAGGAGCACTTACATAGACCAAATATTAACAGACATGAAGGCAGCAATTGACAGTAATAAAATAACAGTTGGGAACTTTAACAACCCACTTATATAAATGGATAGATACCCAGACAGAAAAATCAATAAGGAAACACTGGCTTTGAATGACACTTCAGACAAATGGATCTAATAGATATATATATATATATACACATAACATCATGTCCAAAATAGCAGAATACACATTCTTTTCAAATGTACATAGAACATTCTCCAGAACAGATGTGTTAAGCCACAAAACAAGTCTTAGCAAATTTAAGAAGTATAAAATCATACTAAGCATCTTATCTAACCACAACAGTCTGAAACTGGAAATAAATTACAAGGAAAAAAAAAACACATGGAAGTTAAACAGCATGCTACTAAAAATCCAGTGGGTCAATGAAGAAATTAAAGAGGAAATTAAAAAATACTTGAAGAATAGCAAAAATATAAATACAATGCAAAATCTTTGGTATACATAAAAAGCAGTCCTAACAGAAATTCAGTATTACAGGCTTACTTCAAGTATGAAGAAAAATCTCAAATAATCTAATCCCATACCTAAAATGGCTAGAAAAAGAATAAATAAAGCCCAAAGCTAGTAGAAGGGAGGAAATAATAAAGATCAGTGCAGAAATAAATTAAATAGAGGCAAAAAGGAGAAGAAGAAGAAAGAATCAATGAAACTAGGAGCTGTTGCTTTGAAAAGATAATATTGATGAACCTTCAGCTGGACTCATCAAGAAAAAAGAGTGGACTCAAAATTGAAAATGAAAGAGAAGTTGCAATTGACCACAGAAATTCAATTATAAGAGATTAGTGTGAAAAATCATATGCCAACAAGTTAGACAAACTAGGAGAAATGGATAAATTCCTAGAAACATGCAATCTCCCAAGACTGAACCAGGAAGAAACAGAAAATCTGAACAGACTGATTACTAGTAACAAAATTGAACTGGTAATCCAAAACTCCCAACACACAAAATCCCAGAGCCAGAGGCTTCACAAGAGAATTCTACCAAACATTTAAAGAACAGTTAATATCTATCCTTCTCAAACTATGCCAAAAGGCTTAAGAGCAAGGAATGCTTCCAAGTTCATTCTACAAGGTCAGCACACTTTGATACCTAAACCAAAGACAGTATACAAAAAGACATGAATATAGATGCAAAAACCCTCAAAATACTAGCATACTGGATTAAGAAATACATTAAAATGATCATTCACCACAACCAAATGGATTCCAGGGATGCAAGGATGGTACACTATCCACGATTCAATATGAGACACCACATTAACAAAAGAAAGAATAAAACCCATGTTCATCTCAATAAATGCCAAAAAAGCATTGATAAAATTCAGTATGCATTTATGATAAACTTTCTCAACAAAGTGGGTTTAGAAGGAACACTTCAACATAACAAAAGCCATACATGACAAATGCACAGTTAACGTCATATTCAATGATGAAAAGCTAAAAGCTTTTCCTCTAAGATCAGGAGCAAGACAAGAATGCCTGTTCCCATTCTTATTCAACATCGTATGAAGTGCTAACCATAGCAATCAGACAAGAAACAGAAATATAAGGTATCCAAAGTGGTAAGGAAGAAGTAAATTCTATTTACTACAAATAGTGAACAGAAAGAGAAATTAAGGAAACAATCCTATTTACATTTGTGTCAAAAATAATAAAATAACCTAGGAATAAATTTAACCCAGGTGGTGAAAGACCTATCCCTAAAAATTATAAGACATTAATGAAAAGAAAGTGAAGATGATGCAAATAAATGGAAAGTTATTCTATGCTCATGGATAGGAAGAATTAACTTTGTTAAAATATCCATACACCCCAAAGCGATCCACAGGTTCAATGCAATCCCTATTAAAATACCAATTAATTTTTTTTTTTACTGAACTAGAGCTAATCATCCTAAAATTTGTATGGAACCACAAAAAAACCAAAGAGCCCAAGCAATCTTGAGAAAGAACAAAGCTGGAGGCATCACACGCCTTGATTTCAAACTGTACTGCAAAGCTACAGTAATCAAAACAGCATGGTACTTGCACAACAACAGATATATAGACCAGTGGGACAGAAGAGAGAGTCTGGAAACAAACCTACACCTGTATGTTCAATTAATAACAAATGAGGTGATAATATACATTGGGAAAAATAGTCTGTTTATTAATTGGTGCTGGGAAAACTGAACAGTGACATGTAAAAGAATGAATCACTGTCTTATACCATATACAAAAGCAAACTCAAAATGGATTAAAGACCTACATATAAGACCTGAAACCATAAAATGCTTTAAAGAAAACAGGCAGTAAACTCTTAAACATCAGCATTAGTAACTTATTCTGGATTATTTCTCTCCAGGCAAGAGAAACAAAAGCAAAAACAAATGGGACTACATCAAACTAAGAAGCTTTTGCACAGAAAAGGAAATGAACAAAACAAAAAGGCAACCTACTGTGTGGGAGAATATATATGAAAATCATATATCCAGTAAGGGTCCAAAACATATAAAGAACTCATGTAACTCAACACCAAAAAACAAATAATCTGATTAAAAATTGGGTCGAAGACCTGCATACATTTTTCAAAAGACATACAGATAGCCAATGGGCACATGAAAAGATATTCTATATCACTAATCATCAGAAAATTCAAAACCACAATGAGCTATCACCCAACACTAATCAGAATCGCTAATATCAAAAATAAATGATATACAAGTGTGGGTGAGGATGTGGAGAAAAGGGAACCCTTGTACACTGCTGGTGGGATTATAAATTGGTCAGCCACTTTGGAAAGCGGTATGGCATTTCTCAAGAAATTAAAAATAGAAATGCCATATAACCCAGCAATTCTACTTTTGGAAATTTATCTGAAGAAAACAAAATCCCTCATTCAATAGCCAGAATATGGAAGCAACCTAAGTGTCCATGGATAGATGAATGGATAAAGCAGGTGTGGGTATATGTGTATGTGTATGTGTGTGTATATATGCATATATATATGCATATATACACACAATGGAGTATTACTCAGCCATATGAAAAATGAAATCTTGTCATTTGCAACAACATAGATGGACCTACAGGGTGTCATGATAAGTGAAATAAATTAAAGACATATATTGTATGATTTCAGTTATACATAGAGTTGAAAAAATACCACAAATGAACAAAATTGAAATAGACTCAAATACAGAGAACAGACTGATGGTTACCATCGTGGGGGATGGTGGATGGATTGGTGTAATAGGTGATGGGCAAAAAAAATTAGTGATAATGTCTGATATCTTGATCTGGGTGATGGTTCCATGAATATATACACTTGTCAAAATTTATCAAGCTGTACACTAAGATCTGTGCATTTTATTATATGTACTTCGATATAAAAATGAAAATATGTACACACACACACACACACAAAAAAAAAACCCAAACAAAAAACAAATATCCTATGATCAAATAATTCCACTTCTGAGTATTTACCCAAAGAAAACAAAACCAGTAATTTGAAAAGATACACGCACCCCTATGTTTATTGCAGCATATTTACAAGAGCCCAGATATGGAAGCAACCTCAGTGTTCGTTAGTAGATTAATAAAGAATATGTGGTATACATGTATGACAGAATATTACCCAGTTATAAAACAAATCTTGCCATTCACAACATGTATGGACCTAGAGGGTATCATGCTAAGTAAAATAAGTCAGAGAGAGAAAAACAAATACCATTATTTCACTCATATGTGAAATCTAAAAAATGAGACAAATCTATAAACATACAAATAAAAATCAGAAACAGACTCATACATACAGAGAACTGGTGGCTTCCAGAGGGGAGGGGGCTATGGGATATGTGAAATAGTAAAAGGGGATTAAAGTCACAAACGTCCAGTTGTAAATAAATAAATCATGGGAATGAAAATTACAGTATAGCAAATACAATCAATAATACTGTAATAACTTTCTGTGGTGGCAGATGGTAACTAACCTTATTGCAGTGAGCATTTCATAATGTATATAAATGTCAAATCACTATGTTGTACACCTAAAACTAATATAATATTGTATATCAACTATCCTTCAAATAAAAATTATTTTAAAATATATAAAAACAGTATTACCATATGATCCAGCAATTCCTCTTCTGGGTATTTATCCAAAGAAAACCAAAACACTAACTCAAAAAGATATATACATCCCCCCCATGTTCACTGAAGCATTATTTACAACAGCCAAGATATGGAAACGATTTAAATGTTCCTTGATGGATGAATGGATAAAGAAGATGTGGTACATACATGCAATGAAATGTTATTTAGCCATAAAGAATGAAAAATTGCCATTTGCAACAATGTGGATGGATCTTGAGGATATTAAACTAAGTGAAAGCAGCAGACATAGAAAGACGTATTGTTTCACTTATATGTGGAATTTAAAAATACAAACAAATGCATAGACAACAAATAACACCAACCTCATAGATACCAAAAATAGATCGGTGGTTGCCAGAGATGAAGGTGGGAAAAATGGATGAAAGGTATCAAAGGTACAAAGTTCTAGTTGTAAAATCAATAAGTCATGAGGACGTAATATACAGTATGGCGACTGTAATTAATACCATACTGAAAAGTTTCTAAGAAGAAATCTTAAGTTATAACAAGAAAGAAATTCGGTAACTAAGTATGCTGATGCATGTTAACTAGATTTATTGTGGTGATCGTTTTGCAATATATACAAATACGGAATCGTTGTATTCCTGAAGTTTATACCTCAGTATTTTTTATTAAGGTATCATTGATATACACGCTTATAAAGTTTTCACATGAAAAACATTGTGGTTACTACATTCACCCATATTATCAAGTCTCCCCCATGCCCTGTTAAAATCACTATCTCAATTTTTTAAAAAGCTAATGAAGATTCTTGAATATTGTGAACACCTTATGCACTTGGCTTTGTGTTGATAATGAGCAGCGGGTAGTAGAAGACAGATTTGTGTTTCTTTGAATAATTTACAGCCCATCTGAGGGAGAAGAGAGAAGGGAATGGGAGTGGTAAGAACTAAAATACAAGGCAGCAATATAAGCCAGAGCTGTAGAGTACATAGGGTACTTAGCACTGAGGGAAAATGTTCTCTTGAGACCTCACTGAAGAAAGATTTAGTGTGGGCACCGAATCATACCAACAAGTGATAATGGTGAATGGGAAGAGTGGTTGTGTTGAGGAAATGGCATGATAAAAAAAAAATGGTTCAGAGACAGGATGGTCGAAATGAATCCAGGTGATAAGACTGGCAGGACTATGCCTGTCTAGGAGAGTTGGACTGGTTCCATTTTAGGCCATAAGGAATACATAAAGAATTTTCCATAAGGACACATCCCTAAGAAGTACTTTTCTAGTTACTCCAGGTAGCAGAATTGAAGATGGATTTGGGGAAGGTAAGGATGAAGTGTCAGAGCTGGAAGGAGGCTTTAGGGTCATAAAGGACTCTAGGGCAAGGGAGGGCTGCTTGAAGAACAGAGAATGTTTGATTAATGACGGGAAAGAAGTGATATCAGGGTGGGTTGAGAAAAGCAAAGGGAGATGACGAGGAATGGGGTCCAAAAGGACTCCAAGTTTGCAGGGAAAGTACAGTTGGAAAAAAAAAGGATGACTGAGCAAATAGCATTTACCTAGAAGTGCCCAGCTAGAAGCTGCAAATTCAGGAAAAACTTAGAAGAGAGTAACAAATGTATATTGTCCTTCCAAGTAGATAAGGGTTAGGATATCAGGCAAAAATGTGAGGGACCCAGTGGTTTACAGGCTGATGGGTACCACTAGAAAATTCACTTCAAACCCAGCACCTCAAGAGCGCCTTGAACTGTCACATTAATCCATGCTCTATCATGTTGATCATCTTCCTCTTACGATCCCAGAATGCTTAGTTGAAGAATGAGAATCCACATGCTAAAGACAATGACAAAGATTACCACATAAGAAAAATATTTTTACCTCTTGTGGCTAGATATTCTAGTCAGAAACTGGAGTGTTTCATCACCCAGAACTGGCAGCGCTACTCACCTTCAGGGTATTTCTTCTTACCACAGAGGATGAGCATAAGTGTGTCTAATGCAAAGAACCTGAGAGATCCTTCGTTAAATCATAGTCTGAGCAATGGCCCCACAGCTCCTCCCTCCTAAAATGCCTCAGCGACAAAAGTGCTGGAAGAAAAGGCAGCCATCTACAGTCCAGAAATGAAAGTATCCCTACTATTCACTAACTTAGAAAATTAGCCAAGAAAAAAGCAAGAGGTAAGTGTTGGGAAGGAAACATTAGATATAATAAGAGCTCAAAATAGCCAGATTTGGAATCTACATTAAATTTCTTTTCACAGCAGCCATAAATAGTAAATGTAACAGAGAAACAGGCTCTGGTTCGAACTTCCACTTGAAACAAAAACAGTTTAAGCAGAAAAGGAAATAGCTATTGAGTCCCAAGTAGTTTTAGGCTCAGCCAAATTGTGAGTCATCAGAACTGTTTCTCCACACTCCATCCTGCCCTAGATCTCTGCCCTCTGTCCTTCTGTGAGGTCTTCTCTTTCAGGCAGCCTCTCTCCATGCAGTGAAGATATCCCAACAGAGAGATGCTCACCCGATTGGTGTCCACAGAAATCCTGGAATTGAGTCTTGTTAACTTCACATAGGAATGGGCTCCATTAGGCCAGGTCTGGGCCTTGTTCTGGGGTGGGGTAAGGTGTGGAGGAGTCCACACTAGTAGAACCACATGGTCTAAGAACAAAGGAGACATAGTTTATCATAAGAAAACAGAGGCGTACAAAGGAGACATAGTTTATCATAAGAAAACAGAGGCGTCGGGGAAAATGGCTTCTGGGAAAGCAAAACATCTTCTCCAGATTCCATTTCCAATAGCAACAGAACCCAAAGAGTTGGAATACACCCGAGAAGAACATAGGATCTATATGAAGAAAACTAGAAAAGAACTAAATAAATGAAGGAGTTCATATTCTTAGAACCGTAGACCCAATAAAGATACTATTTATTTCCAAATTGATCTATAGTGCAATCATATTCTGGTCAAAATTCTAAAGCAGTATCTTAATGGATTTTTTATAAACTGGTTTTGAGAATTCACCTTAAACAATTCACAGAAATAGCCAAGGATTTTTTTTTAAGAACAATTGTGGGCTAAGAGATCAGACTTATACCACCAGATATTCAAACATGCCATAAAAACAGTAACCAAGACAGTGCTACTGGTAGAGGAAAAGATAAGTCAACAAAATAGAGATTATATTCAAATCAGTATGGGAAAAAAATGTACCATCTATCTATAATGCTGAAATATCTACCCCACCTCTCCTTTTAGAAGAAGGGAATCCTACTTCACACTACACTAAAAAAAATTCCAGAATGGATCAGTGATTGAGAACATAGAACACTTCCTTTATCATCTTGAAAGACGACCCAAACTGAAGAAGCCATAAGGGTGAAAATGTAGGATGATTTAAAATTGGCAAGAGTGTGAAGAGCAAAGCATTCTCTATGCTGGTGTAGGTTTGGATTGGTAGAACTTATTTTGAATAATTCGGTAGTAGCCAAATTTTAATACATATAAACTGTAACTCTATTTCTAGAATTCTCTCCCATAAAAATTCCATGCAACAGTTTCTTGTAAGAGGAGAAACACCCAAACATACCCAGCAACAGGAGGTTAAATCAGCTTATTCTGCCATAGCACAGAACACACTGGGATAGAACAATGAGGCAGAGCCACATGTTTCAAAGAGGAATGTTGAGCACGTCTGACTGTTTTACAAGTCCAAGCATAAGGGCCAGGAAAGCATGGAAGGATGCTGCACTTTTTTGGGAAACCAAGTATTTACTACCTTCATTAAATTGTCAGTAGCATTTCAAGCAAATGCAAAATGGAAGGCCAAGCCCAGCGATTCAAAGAGGAAGTATCTGCCCAACAAGGAGCACCCCACCTACACCATCCGTGGCCATGACGGTGGCGGTCAGCCAGTGTTATCCAGATCACTGAGTGCTTGCCACAGCATCAATCTGCAGAATGCTCCAGTTTCAGTTGCTGGAGTCAGCACACTACTGAAACCAACCAAATGTGGACAGCCAGTTCCTCCAAAAAGTTGAAAATAGTGCCCTTTCAGACAGAATGCCTGTAGTTTTTCCCCACGGTCATGCTAATTTCTTAGTTCTATTATGCAGAAATGGGATTCAGGCCAGCAGTTTCAGCTAGTATAGATGGAGGGATCTCCATAAATCTGCAAAGATTTGATTGCTGGAGGACTCCATGCCACTCAGTGTTTGTGGATATTCAGTCAGCTACAGGGCCAACTTTATTTCTGGAGCATCACCTCCTGCAGTAAGATTTTCTTTGGCGAAGCAGAGTTAACACACGGCATCCTGACTGGAGTGCTCAGCTTCTTCAGTCACCCGTGGGTTCGAACCATGAACAAAATTTTTCCAGGGTTTACATAGTTATCTTGAACAGTTTGCCAGAACCACTTCAATTGACCCTCTTAGTGAACTCAGCTAACCCCAGTATGTCAGCAATGAATTGGTCAATATAAGCAACTGGCTTGCTTGCAACTATCTTGCAAATGACTTCAATGTCTTCTTTCCATATCCTTAACCACCATAATCTTCATTTTGTTCAGGAAATGGAGTATAAGATTGCTAAGAGCATTTCCTAAGATTAGGCTTCTTAAGAGAAGGACATTCTATCCCATTTTTATATCTTGCTTTGCTAAATTGAGAATATTATCTCCTCTCTTGGCACTTGGTCCATCTGGACATATCAGAAACTACTATTTGATTATCCATATCTGTTTTGGGAGTAAATAAGCAAAATTGAACAGGCCCAATCTTACTCAACTCAGGTTTTGTCAGAATTTGCCACCTTTTGGGTGAGAACTGAATCTTCCACCAACTCACTGTCATTAATTGTCCCATCGTTATTTTTTTTATGTAATAATTTAAACTAAAAGCAAAAACAAAAACAGTTCACCCATTTCTCCCACCTTCCACGCCTACCTCTGGCAATTACCAGTCTGTTCTCTGTAACTATGAGCTTTATTATTTTTTTTAAAGAATCCACTTATCAAAGATATGTATTTCAGGGAGGGCTGTACAACACAGAGAAGACGGGTAGGGATTCTGCAGCATCTTACTACGCTGATAGACAGTGACTGTAAACGTGGGGGGGGGATTTGGTGAAGGAGGGAGCCTAGTAAACATAATGTTCTTCATGTAATTGTAGATTAATGATACCAAAATAAAAAAAAAAGATACATATTTGTGTTTCTCTGACTTATTTCACTTGCATAATACCCTTGAGGTCACTGCCAAGTTCTTTAAATATTTTGATATCCCTGAGATCTATACTAGCATAGGAGCTAGGTCAGTAACTTATCTCAATGTATTTACACTCACTGGAAAAGACGGCCTTGAACACAGAAAGATAACCTTTTGAGTTTGCAGTATTTTCCGTCCTTTAGTTCCGTAAGTCAAGACACGTCAAGATTTCAAAACCCTTTTCCAGATCCTGGAAGGACTCAGAAATGATGGATGAATTTGAATCCCAAGTTTTCCTTGAAGAAAGGCTTACTGAATCCCTTTGTGAAAAAGGTTAGTACAGGAATCAGGGAGCCAGCAACGATGACGATGTCTGCTGTGGGATACTTTCTGCTTCTTTACCCTGAGCCTTAGACGTGCCCAACATCATTCTGCCTACTGTACATAACGTCTTTGTTTCAGAAGAACATCATTTGGGTTGGTCACCTTACCTTTTCCATCTGGAATAATTTTATCCATTCCTTTTGGTCCAAGGCTTATTCTAATAGCATCAGCAACAGCTTCGGTTGTGGCCAAGCACTCGCTTGTCACGTTCCTCACAGGCATTTCCCTACAGCCACTGGCAGCTCTGGGGGGCATCCCACTCCAGAGTACCACTTCTTGGGCCTGGCAAGCTTGGCTGGGTCTGTGTGGGCTCAGGAAGGACAGATGGACACAGATTCTGGCCAGACACAGAGTAACAGTGTGCACTGCTAACCACTGAAAGGGATCAGAACATGTTACCCCAAAACATGCCACTTTGGCATGTTGGTTATTTTGAGCTGGAGGCACTTCCAGGAAGAGCACTCTTACCCCCATGCCCCAATTTCCTATGAGAAATGTGCTTTCTTGTACCAGGGGAGGGAGAATACTCTCATCACTGGAGAAGGGAGTCAACACCAATACAAGCTGTTACAAGCTTTACTAGAATAATCCTTATCTTCCATTTGTTTCCCCTCATATATTTCCTACTCACTTTCCCACAATACACCCCTAAAAGCCCAAACCCTTTCCTTTGTGTAGTATTTCTCCATGGTTATCACTCTTTGTTAAAGAGGCATGTAAGCCCCGTATTTAACCACTTTGGGGGGATTTTCACTTCTTTTCTATTGTCTCCTGTAAAAGCACAAATAATATTTTGTATGTTTTTCTCCTGTTAATGTCTTTTTCCACTAAATTCACAGGCCTAAGTCACAGAACTTAAGAGGATAAAGTTTTCCTCTCTACCACCTTGCAGGTGATAAGGCTGACAGAAGAGATAGACTTTATGAAGTTGAATGCTGATTAAATGTTTAAAGAAATATATACATTGTATTTAAAGGACCAATAAAAAAGGAAACTCATCAATTCAAGTTACTCCTAGGAAGAAAGGCTTATTGAATCCCAAGGAAACCAACATTTTTTTTAAAACATGCATAAGTTAATTAAAAGATACTTAACAATTTAAGTCAGAAAAATTAATTAACTCTAGAAACCTAGGAATCCCGGGAATCAGATTTCAAAGGACTTAGAAAGAATTTCTTATAAAAAATTTTAATATTACACTCTTTGTTAAAATAGGACTTCGGTACAATTTCACCCTGACTCACTGCCTTGAAAAATTAGTCATCAGTAGCCCATGAAATCGTGGAGATCAGGGAGGCATAGTCACTCTTATCCAAATGTAAGCAAAGAGCACCCTATTTCCTATAGCGGCTTCTTGTGAAATTCTTTGGAGCAATAAGAATCCCTATTTCCCCCACTCAAAGAAAAAATCATTTGTGTCTTTGTTCTAACATCTCTGAATTAGGGGTTAAAACACTGGCTGAATCATCCCCACAGGACTCCTCATATGAATGCAGGTGCAAATGTCTCAGAACGTGGTTTAATTCTGTTCTGTTCTGTCACATCTCAGATTTGTTTGGCTGATCACAGGCAGGTGAAAAGGGATCACAAATTCTAGAACTCACAATGATTTCTTCCAGAAGTAGACTAACATGGCTGCCATAAAGCCTGACAGAAGAACCTGGGCCAGTCCTCGTCTCCAAGGTGATGGCAGCATGGGTGTGAAGAAGCGACAAAAGCCATCCTACAAGGGGGAAGGAGAAGAGAATCAGACTGCTGCAAAATGCTCAAAACCTGAAGTCAATAAAAACACACAGGCTCTAGACTAACCAGTAAGAGAACTGCTGAATTTAAAAAGCAAAAAAAAAAAGGAAATACTAACCAATAGGCAACCTGTAATTAGGAACCTCTGATGAGTTAGGATATATAAAAAGCAGTACAACAGGGAATAGGAGGACATGGGGAACTTTGTCACTTAGAGCAGGAATACTCATCTTTTGACTCACTTCTTTAAAAAGCTAAGAGGAAGGTCGACTACTGTCTCACGTTCTTTCCTGAGCAAAGGGCAGATGCCATTTGGGAAACTCAAATCACTAGAAAGTTATCCTTAATAACCTTAGATAATAAAGCAAGATGCTTCACTCATGAAAATGGAAAGGAAGTCCAGAATGGGGCATTTTAACTGCAGCTGGGAGAGGTGTGAGCATTTCCTGTTACTCAATTGGAGAATTTTGGCTTTTTCATGTTAAGATTATTCCTTAGTCAATGTTGATTAGCCAAAAGATGCAAACAAAGCGATTTCCCCCTCCTAGTCAGTTTTCTCTTTAAGTGCAGAGGGTCCTCGGGGGGCCTTGTAAAGACAAATAGCTTGGGTGGCCACAGGCCTGGACGGTGGAAGACCAACACACACAAGGAATGCAGGGATTAATGCTAACACCTCAAATTGTTTATATAAGGTCAAGGTTCTGATTCAGATACTACCTCTCTTCCGCAAACAGAACCCAATTCATCACCACAGGTCTAATAGGAAACTGCTAACAGGAGGCTAAATTTTCTGTGGCATCTTCCCTAGTTCCTCGGACTTTTTTAAGCCACTAGCATTAGTAGTCCAGCAATGTTTCTCCTATAACCTATTTTTGCTTAACTGCGGTAAGGAAGAGAAGAAAGAAACAGGTCTAGTTCAGAATCCAGGAGGCACGCCACCCTCTTCCTGAAGGATGGCATTAGCTGGGTACAGGAGCTGCAGGCCAACGACCTGCCCTCCTAGCCTGCACCAGAGATCAACGACCTACAGCTGAAAGCCAGAGCCCCTGGTATCTCCGATTGAGGGTTGGGCGGAGTGGATTAGAAGTTAAGGAACTTGGAGTCAGTATCCCTGGGTGCCTGGCACCCACTCCCAACACCTTTGGCCTGGAATCTGAGAGGAGGTGTGGGGGCTGGACAACAAATGCATTTTCATTCTAACGTTTTAGGCTGGCGCCCTTCAGTCTGCGGAGCTATGAGGTCAGAATAGCGGAGAAACAACCCACCTGGCCGGGGTCACCTCACTGCTGACCTTGTACAGTTTGGGAATCCCTATATGATAAAATACGCCGACCTGACGGGGGAGCCTCCTAAGCCTCAAGCTGCTTGGGAGCGAGTCGGTGAGCCCCTAGCAAGGCCGCCTTCTGTCCGGCTGACTCCGCCAAGGGGAGCAAGCCAGACCTCCCACCGTGTGTCCCCGTCCTACCACCACCAACGCCCCACGGGGCCCCGTTCCGGGCTGCCCGCCCCGCCCGGGGTCCCCGCGCCCCGCGCGCTCACCCAGCCGCCGCTCGCCTCCAGCCAGGCGCCGTGCTGCCCGGAGAGCCAACCGCACAGCAGGGCCACCATGGACCGGCAGTCCGGGTCAACGTCGGCCTCCCGCCTCGGGCCCGGCTTCGGACACCCGTCGGTGCCCCGCGGCGTTCTCTCCAGCAGCGTCCCCGCGAAGGTCACGAGCGCCACCACGCGGCCCCAGCTGAGGACGCCGCGGTCCTCTGCCAACTCCCGGGCCGTTTGCGCCACCAGCTCGACGCGGTTGCCGCGGTAGTCGCGGTACTGGGACAGGAACTGGTGGTTGCGCTGCTGTACCTGGGCGGCCACGGAGCGCAGCACGGAGGCCTCGGGTGTGGACGGCGGCCGCCCGGCGGTGCCCGGCTCCCGGGCGCAGTACTCCAGGTAGTCGGCCAACAGCAGCGCCGTGCGCTCGGTCAACGCGTCCGCCATAGCCCGGCCTCTGCCCGGCGCCGACCCCGGCCGGTTTTCTAGGCCCAGCAGCGCCCCGCCCCGACTCCACGCGGCCCCGGGAGTTGTTTTTCTGGGTGCGGAGAGGAATCTTTGATGGGAATCCCACCTGCACCTGTTCCGGTCCCAAGCGAGGCCCTGCGGAGTGCACGTGGTCACGTAGCGGGCCGGCGCGGGGCGAGAACTTTTGCGGTTGTTTAGCTCTCGGCCTCCCCAGGCTAAGAATTCAGAAGGGACAGGCTGGAAAAGTTGGGTAGGCTCTTGCGTCCTCTTAAGGAGAGGTTGACAGTCCACACCCAGCCCAGCTCTGGTGCGAGGATTATGAGCATCTCTCATCCAGGTGCATGTTGGAGATGCCTTTCTTGGGTTCTGGCATGTGACAGAAAACAGGATAATTTTTCAGGCTGCTAGATTAGCTGTATTCATTCATCCCTTCACTCATATTTATTCAGTCTTTTCAGCTAGACCTCCCCTGTTTAGCACTGGGGATATAATGAAGGACAAACTAGATATGTGGTCTCTACTCCCAAGGACACTACAGTCTAGTGATGCGACAAAGAAACAGGCCATCACAATAGTTTAATGATCGCTGTTAACAGGAGAAGTTGAGTGAACCTTCAGCTCTATTAGGCTGGTGGCTGTTACTTGTAGCTACCGTTCCTATATTGCTTAGAGTTATCTTTACTTTTTACTCACCAGTCCCTCATTACCCCAGTCCCCTGTTATAGGTAATACTTCTTATTCATGTAATCCTATTGCTTCTTTCTCCTGACTGGACCCAGACTGATACAGAATTGGTAACAGCAGTGAAATTTCTGGGGGTTCAGTGCTCTGGAGCATGTTGAACTGTCCCATCCAGGGTGAAGCTGAGTTGCTGCATCTTATATCATCTATAAGAAAAAATAGTCACAAGGCCTGGTAGGTTGTTTTGATTTTGGAGACAATACACACCACATTTGAGTGTGTGACTTCGATCCCTCTGTGGGCTGGTGGAGTGAGGAGAGTGCGGCACACTTAGGCATCAGTATAAGCTGCTCTACCACTCGGTCTTATGACCTAGCAGACCCAAAGATACTTGAAGTATCAAATAGGGATGCTCTTCAGAGCCTCTGGCAAGAACCAATAGGAGAATTATGGAACAGACCTATATGGTTGTGAAGCAAATCTGTGTCCTTTTCTGCAGATAACTTCTCCTGAGAAGCAGGTTCTGGCTTGCTACTGGGCCTTGGTAGAGCACAACTTTAGACATCAGGTGACCATGTAGCTTGAGATCGCATTATGATATTGATGTTGTCTACCCTATGAGTTTACAGCAGCAATCTGTCAAGTGGAAATGGTATATGAGAGACTGAACTCAGGCACATGCATTAGGTACAAGTAAACTGCGTGAGCAGATAGCTCAGACACCTGCAACGCCAATTCCTTTTGCTTTGCTTCCTCCGTCATACCAGGCCTGAAGCCTCCAGGGGATGCTGTGACCAGTTAACTGAAGGAGACAGACTCAAGCCTGGATTACAGATGGGTTGATATGATATGCTGGTACCACATGAAAGTGGACAGCTGTAGCATTAAAGCCCCATTCAAGGCTCACTGTGAAGACAGTGGTGGAGGAACAGTGTCTGAGTAAGCAGAAATTTAAGCCAATATTTGGCTGTCCACTATGTCTGGGGTGAGAGATGTACAGAGTATAGATCTACATTGAATCAAGGGTAATTGCCAATGGTTTGGCTGGATAGTCAGGGCCTTGAAGAGAACAGAATTGGAAAATTGGTGACAAGCACATCTTGAAAGAGGTATATGGCTGGACTTCCTTGGACACAGAATGAAGATACTCATGTCCCATGTGAATGCTTCCAAAGAGCAGCTACTTCAGACGAGACACTGAGTAATCAGACAAAATTCTGTGCTCTGTGGATGTCAGGGAGGTTCTTTAACCCAGCTGCCCAGTGCTTGACTCTGAGCCCTGTGAACAAAGAGGCCCTTGCAGCAGGGAAAGGGGTGGGGCAACAGGGCAATTCTCCCCGGGAAGGTGTTGCTGGCTGATGGTCCTGTGGAACGCCTATCTACCAATGTGCGATTTCTTTACAGTGAACTGAAAGAACTTTGTCAGAAGGGAATATAAATATCTACATCAGATTCACGTTTGAACTGATTTTGACATCTTACAGGTTCCCTCATTAATCAGTTAAATGTTTTGAATATTGCTTCTCTCTCACTTACCAACTTTACATTTCCCTGTATGGCCCCGGAAGATGACTGGTTAGCCAGAGACGGGTAAGATTCCTCAAGGGAGGAACAACCTAAGACAGGCACAGTCGCAGGGGGGCCATCAGGTGAGAAATTGGGGATCAACAGAGGTGAGGCTCAGAACCTCAACCCCCCTGTTTTGAGAGAAACCTTCTGCATCCGTGGATGTTTTGCTGCCCTTGTCTAGC